AGGAGAATTCCTAAATATTTCCGTAAGCATAAAAAGTATTATAAGCATAATTTCATGGATCTTTTAGGAGAATACTAAGGGTAATCTAAGGAAGAAAACAACAATATGACACAATAATTGCAGGAGAACTTCAAAGAAATTCAGAAGACGATTCCAAAACAGTTTAACTTGAATTTCAAACTTATTTTGATGAAAATTCTGCGAGGAAAATTGCAAGTTTATTCAAAGGAGAAAACGTTGTGAGTAGAATTCTAGATTTCAAAGGGAATTCTGAAAAGATTTCGATAAAAAATTTGAGGATAATTCTAATGGAATTCTTATTATATTCCAAAGGGATTATGAGGAAATTTTCAAAGAAAAACCTGATGAATTCTGGTGAATTTAATGTGAAATTATCTCTTTAGGATTAACAATTAAGGTACTGGAATTAAATGTAGATAAGTTACTAATCCTTCTTTTTTCTCCATTCCGAGGATAGTTTGAATTTTCCAAATTCTGATAATTGATTTTTGGTTTTAAATTAAAGAGTATGCAACTTTTAAATCTCCAATGTAAAAAATGAGCCTCCTCAATTCAAAATATTTTCAAAAATTTTAAGATATTCTCAATGTCTTTTAAATCTCATCAAAACTTGAGGAGTTTCCGTTTTTTTAGATGAATAGATACAATGTCTGTTCAGAAATGACGGAATTATGTTAATTTTAGTATTTTTCAGAACCTTGCGTTGTGGGTTAGACAATTAATAAAAAATCTCCTAGGATTTTCGCCGGTTTTAAGCGTTAAAAATAAAATATCACATCCAATTTTTTTTCCATTAAAATGAATTACTGAAACTGCTGACGTTTCATGTACAACGTACATCAAAATACGCTAATAGAGGGTTGGGTGCGGGAATGATTCTAAAATTGGTCCCAAACTGGGAAAATATGTTGGGGGATTAGGGATAAATGGAAATTATTTTATTAAATTTATTGGCCAACCTCAATTATCTAAAACCAACCACTTAGAAAACGAAAATCTTCACAAAAGTTTAAAACGGCATCATCTTTATCCTTAGCTGCCATGAATAACACAGTATCATCTGCAAAAAAAAATTAATGTCACAAAATCGTAAAACACGTCGCAAGTCATTAATAAACATAATACATGAAAGGGGCCCTACTACACTTTCCTGGGGCACTCCAAGGTTATTCCCCACGGGACTGAAAATGGAATCATTAAAAACAGTCCGTCTAGTTCTGTCAGACAAATAGCTTTCAAACCATTTATATGCAGTACTCGTATTTCCAAAGCGCTTGATTGATCTTAACAATAAGGGCCTAGAAATTGTTTCAAAAGCGCGTTTTAAATCCAAAAAAAAAACAACAATCGTATCTTTACACTCAAAGTTATTTTTCCACTTCGCTAATACCAAATTCAATACTGTTTCACAATATTGACTTTAACGATATCTGGACTGTTGTGGTATCAACAAACTATTACTATTTAAATTCTCCAACAGCTGGCCTTTAACAACAAGTTCTTAAAATTTTCTCTAATGTGTGCAACATATTGATGGGACGAAACTCTTCGGCTTTAATCGTTCCAGCCTGGGACGGGACTTGGCAATCGCGTTGCGATTTCGAGCCAATTTGCTGTCAAATCTGAGCCAGTTTCTGATTGGTCGAGCAATCGTGGGATAAAAAGGACAGAGGGATCGCTTCAATCTGGCTGGCAGTGATGCCGCAATCAATGTTGACGTCAATGGCTTGTTAATTCTATATATTTGCGAAAGGAAAGTTGTAAAATTGAGTGCACTGCGTGTTTTAAGCGATGGATATTGTTGTTTTTTTTATGTTTGTTTTTATTGTGTTGAGCAAAAATGATGAAAAAACTACTTAACTGCGGTAGAAACTCCAAATAAAATCCAAATTAAAAAAAAATACATTCCTGGAATCATTGGTCAACTCCGTCAAACACCACGCACAACTTTCCGGAGGGCATTCTTAAGAAATACTAAGAAGAGGGAGAAGCTCGATTGTCAAGTCCCGTCCTGGGTTCCAGCAACTTTTAAAATTAAGAGTAACTAAGGATGAAAGCAATCTTGAGAACAAAACTCTTGATGTTTTTTCAGGTTGGCCAGCAAACCGGGAAACCAGGAATACCGGGAAATATCCGGGAATTTGAAAAGTAACTGGGAAAACCGGGGAAAATTCGGGAATTCGACGAGAGCACCAGTAGAAATAAATAAACCGTACCATACGAACAATTTTTTACAACAGAATTTCAGAATAAACCATTAAAATAGAGTGATCCTTTACCAAATGAATGTCTTGCGCTATTTGTTGCATTATTTTCTTCAGTTTCAGCAATATTGCAAATTGATTTTCGTCGTTTCAATTTCAGATGTAAAGTGCATGGTCCTTGAAATAAAATATTGAAGATGCTGGGCTTTGGAAACAAATATTTGTAAAAACCGTAACTGAATTATTCTTCTCCGGGGTTTTAGTTTTTCGTTGTTCGAAATTCTCATGATATGAATTCCAGAACTAACTTGGAATTCTGCTCTAAATTATAACGGAATTCTTCGGAAATTTACCAGAAAAGACTCCGCGTAATAATTACCGTCGAATTCTTTTTGGAATTTCCTTGAAACCCCTTCTAAGAATTAAATTGGAATCCTTCTCTTAGAATTCCCTTGAGCTTATTCGGAGTCTTTGATTCCTTTGGAAATATTTTCAAAAAATTCTTTTTACTCTATTCAAAACAGCAGAAATGTTCCGAAAGTTTATTTAGTTACCGTTTGGAGTATTTCAAAGAATATGTTTCTAATTTTCAGCAAATTATTGACAGAACTCTCTTAGGACTCTGTTTCTTGTTGAATTCTGATCACAATTCTCTTGGAATTCTTCTTGAAATTCATGTGTCATTTTCCTCATGATCCCCATACAAATCTCCTCAGAATCACGTAGGGATTTTATTTTAAGTTTTGTTTTTCACAAATCCTTTTAAAATTTTCTAAAATTACCTTCAATTTTACTTAGAACTTGCATTATTCTCCACAGAAATCCCTCCAAATTCATCTAACAATTTCTAAGGACTTCATGTCAGAATCATTTTGGAATTCTGCTCAGAACTTCTCCTTCGAAAACTGTGTGGAAATCCTTCTCAATATTGGTTTGAAATCAACACTTTGAAGTCTTTTGAATTTTACTAAAAATTCCAGGGTTTGTCCGCAAGATTCTATAGATTGTTCTGTAATTTGTTATAGCTCTTAAAATGCTTGCAAGTCTCAGAGCGTGACAATTATGACTCCACGGGTCATAAGTATGATTTTTTTTTCAAACATGTGATCTTAATTTTAATTATGTTTTCTCCAAATCTCGCATCACAAAAATTGCTGTCATTTTTTATCCTTTCTGTAAATTCCTTTCAGCACGTTTTTAAAAATACGTATTATATCCCTTTTGTTGATAACTAACAACCGGGATATTTTAAAGGTTTGAACCAGGAAAATCGGGAAAAAACCGGAAATTTCAAAATGAAAATTCACTGGCTGCTAATCTGAATTACCGGCCGCGAATGGAAAATACACGCTTCGCTCAACAAGATTCGAAGCAGCCTGTTTCGAATATTTCCTTCAGCACTTCATTTTTACAAAGTCATCGTTATTATCGATATTATCGGATACGTTAATCACTAAAGTCTCATGATCGGTTATTTTCAAAACGCTTTGCGGTACGGAACGAATATAATTAAAATTGGAATAAACGATATCAATTAAATTTCTACTGTGCCTGGAATTACGCTAAACGCTACAAATGATTCAAATTAGAGTTGTCATGCCAATTAATATTAAAATCACCAGCTAATATATTTAATTTACTAGAATCAACCAAATTTCTCGAGCCAGTTCTCTAAAACTTCAACAAAACGCCGGTCACTAGAACTAAGAGAATGATACAACACATCACAATTGCCCATCTTCTTGCCACGCACAACTGTAATGCCCAAGAACCAATTGCCATCAATAACTTCGTTGGTACGAAGGTTAAATTGAACTGAACCGCCAGTGTGTCTAGAATACGATAAACAATCAGCAACATTATACCCCGGAATACCATACTGATCAAATGCTTTAATTTCTACAAAATGAGTTTCTGCTAAACTAAATGTAGACGTTTTTCCTCAACAATCAACAATCGCAATATTCAAATACAAACAATCGAATTGATTCACATTCCTGGAACATGGTTGCTTTGATTGAAACGCAAGCTGTTTTTCTTCTGATCAAAACGACTTTTATAAATTAAACATTCAGAGTTCAATGTGGCATGGTATTTGATTGAGAATTATGATATTAACACAACACAAGTCGTATGCGCAATTTACGTATACCGTTTGTTCAAAATTTCCAAAATTTCATGAGATGCTTCTCAAAGAAATCGTAAAATTAGTGAAATTTTTGAGAAATTACAGCAAATCCATAATACATTTATGAGATGTATTACATTTTGTATTTTAAACTGGGCTCCTCAAAAGAGCGGAATCGCTTATAAAAATGCACATTTACGTTGTATCGTCTTGGTGTCTTCTGCAATTTTGTAATTACATGTAGAATTATTCTAGGGTTATATGATTACACTGAACACAAATGGCATGACCAACAAATGTAACGGACGATTTCTTAGATGATCTGCATGTTTTCTTACAAATGTAATATAAGTTCTTACAATGAATTGTATCAAGTTTTTCCAGAATCAATATTTTCGTATAAAACCTTCACGACATTATTCGAAAAATTGCAAACTCATTAAAAAAAAAAAAAACCTTCCGACGAGTACATTACAAAATCTATTCATGCGATGAAACATAATAATAGAATCATACATTTCTCGGTTGGGTGTACCTGAAATTAGTTCGTAACAACCAAACAATTATAAAACTACATTGAAGTTCCTATTTTTTTTTTAAACAATCACCAGTCACCACTAATTTCCCCTTCTTCTTTTATTTTTTAGGACAAAACCTCCGCCGCCTCGCAAAAGTCCTCCAGCATCAACTGGTCCCGGATCGAACGGGTGTGCGGCTCGGTACCGACCTACCTCAAAAACCTGCTGAAAATGTGCGGCTACGAACAGGAGAGTGCCCTGCGGAACCTCAACGACGACGACTTCGTCGATATGGAACGCTTCGCTCGGGAAGAACTGATACATCTGGTCCCGCAGACGCAGTTCTACTTTCACATATTTTGCACCGATCCTGCGCGGGAATTCCGATTGGTGCCGGGTCATCGGAAGCTACTGCTACAGATGAGTGCCTACCTGAACTACACCAATGCGGCCAACGAGCTGCAACGGGCTGATCCCATGGTAAACCACCGGACAGAACGACCCCAACCGCCACCACCAGCACCACCACCACAGGAAAGGCTGGAGCGGATCGAGCGCGTAGAAAAGCCCGAACGAATCGCCGACATCAATCTGGTGCGGGAAATACGCGAACAGCGAGCCCTGATGCAGCAGCTGCAGATGCAGCAGCACCAGCAGCAGCAAGAACTGGTCAACCAAGCCTCGGAGATGCTCCAGGAACACATACCGGACATCAAGATTGCCTCTACCAAAAACCCTCCATTTGCTTTCGAGCAAGCCACCGTCTACCCTCCACTAAGCGACGAAGCTCGAGTCAAAAAGATCCAAAACATCATCATCAAGCTGATCGAAATGTGGAGCGATAAGCAACCGATCAAGCTCACTCTCACCGAAGAAATGATCAACGTCACCTACGAACTCAACGGCTACAATGCCTTCATCAAGTGTCCGATGTGCGCAGTACAAATCAAGGTGTCCAAACTGCCCACCAAGAAGGGGGACCGTTTCGTGATCTCAAACTTTTCCAAACACGTCATCAAGATGCACTTTTCGCAGCAGCAACAGCAACAGCTCTCTCAATCTCAGCAGCTGAACGATAGCAGTCGGTCCAGTTTGGAGAACGCCGGGTTCTTCGGTGGGGAGAACTCGGACAGCAACAACTACCCGTACGACGAGTTCAGCATCAAACGGGCGCGGCTCGAGGACGAAGACGAGGATGAACACGAGATTCCGCCGCACATGCTGCATCCTTTCGTGAGCATCAAGGACGAGGTGATCGATCTGGATGCGTAGTAGTGCTTGGCGAGAAGACTTGATAGAACAAACAATTGTACTCTGGTATACTGAAGATAATAGCTAATTGATGTGTTACAAGAACAAGAGCTGAACTCAGTAGGATTTAGTTTTACGAATATTTATGCATTACTTTACTGAGAAGACGGATGTGTTTTTTTTTTCTCTAGTAGATTTAAGTCAATTTCGTTACTGGTTAAGTTTAGGTAGAGCAGCATAGCATTCAAAAGACTTTATATTTTATTCCCTTGTTGAGGAGAGATTTAGTTTAGGGTTATGCTGTGTACAAACTGATGGCTGATAGGTTTAGCGCGTAGCAGCGAATTCCAACATTACACGACATTTATCATTGATTCCATTTTATCATCTTCCAGCCGTGAATAAAACATGTGCTCCTGTTTCATGTAAATGAAGGCTACGTTGCAATGAATCGTTGAAGAAGTCTTTGGCTGCCATTTTCAGTGGGTTCTTTTGGTGGGTATTCTTCGATCTCTGGTTTCGTGGCTTCTGGTGGCACTTAACTGGAACGGTTGCCTTCCGGCAGTGGACTGGGGATGTCGCTGATACTTTACAACTATTTTTCATTATTAAAAGTTAGATTCTCCCCATTCATTTGAGACTAGTACTGAAATGTTCTATAGAGGGGTCTAGATTTTTTTTTTTTTCATTTAAAGTTGAACAATTGATTGCACAGCAATGCCATGGTAGGTCCTAAGTAATATTGATCGATTTTCTTTCGTTAATAACTTCACTTCAAAACCGTCCTGTTGTCCTGTTTGCAGTATCAGATGCTTTATCGAACTGTATGTTAAAAATAGCTGGAAATGTCTATCCATCCACCCTTTTTGCAAATCTTCGCTGCACAGTACGCAAAACTCATTTAGTAAGAAACTGCCTTGGCATGAACCATTTGATGTTTATATAGAGTTTACTATTAGAGAACCAAATGTTTTGTTCATATCGATCAAAATATTCACCATTCAGCTCTGCTTAAAAAAAATCCCAGCTACAACTTTGTTCAAAGCCACTTTTCGATAAAAAGCAAGGAACAAAAGTTATTAATGATTCAAGCCACTGATGTCTTATAATTATGCTTAATCATCTGTTCGGCTGGCAACATTGGTGTTTCTGGCGCGTAGAATAGAGCACACAAATCATGGCTACTTTGTCAAACGGTAGAATAAAGTGTTGCCCACAAAACATCTGCTTGATCATGCCAGAAGATTATCAATCTCTTAAATAATTTCTAAATATTTAATTTGTCGTTTGGCTTAAAAACTATATTCTGCAAAGTTGTTGTTGAGAAAACTTCCCATAAGAATTGCTAATAGCAATTTTCTATAGAACAAAATGAAAAAGGCTAGAAGACAATTTAACGAAAAGCTTGGATTTCCCATAGTTATTTCCATATAAGCGTCAAAAGGTTTGTGCCAAGTCAGTTTCTTACCAAATGAGTTCATATTTTGGGAGGCTGATCAGGACACGAGTTGGAACACACTGTTTAAGCACTGTGGAGCAAAATTTGTAATAGGCCAAGCAGGGGAGTTTCAGTTAACGAAAAGATTCACTTTTTTATTATAGGGAGCCGCCGCTTGGAGACGTTTCTCGAAACATATGTTGTGCTGGAACTGAGTCCGGACAAACCTTTTTAGCGAAATCGGATATCCATCGGTTGCAATATTCCTCGAATTATGTGGAGGTTTTGTGCCTACGAAAAGCTTTGAAAGCATCAGATTGTTCTACATACAATTTTGTGCATTCTCCGTCCCATCCAAGTGTGGCTGGTCTCCTTTTGAAGGATGCATTTGGATTTTTTTTTGTGCATCATGTGAGCTTTTGTATATCAATTCGGCGAGGAATCGATATTCGTCCAATGGTGGAAGCGTATCCATGGATTCGACACTAATGGAAGTTCTTGGTGGAACATACACTGAAGCTATGCAAAGATTTTTGTTCTTCACATTTATTTGACGAGCGATGATTTCGACGCCTGATAGATCAGGAAGGGAAATTTTGTAGAAAGGGCAGCACTTTTTGATCCCTAAAAGTACTCCTCCATAAGAATCGTCTCTATCCATGAGAATAATGTTAAAATCTTGGAAGTTGAGTTCTTTATCGGCAGAAAGCCATGTTTCACAGAGAGCAAATATATCACAATCAGAATTGTGAAGTAAAAATGTGAACGAGTCTAGTTAAGGCACTAGACCAGAGTCGGAGACGAGCCAGCCAACGGCTGAAAGTCTCCTTAATAAAGATATATAAAAAAAAACTAGACCAGATATGGTTTATGCAAGGAAGGGCCATGAAACAGTCAATTGCTTAAGATATGATTCTAATGTTGGAAGCAATGCAGAAACTAAGCTTCTAAGAGGGTCTTGTATGTTGAATATATTTAATAGGAATTCCACAATGTCCGAAAAAGCTAGCAAACCTCGTTCGGACTTGGATTTATTTTGAGAAGTTTGAGGATTAGCCTTTTTATTTTTCTTATATTTGTTGGGTAATGGCGGAAAATCCTTACTGCAGCCAGGGAGTGGAGCAGTAGGAGCCTTCGATTTAATTTTTTCATCCCCATCATGCAATCCTCTGGGAGTGACATTAATTTTCTTACGGCGCACTTTCGGGGAGGAGCCTTTTCGTTTTGAGGATCCGTTCGTTTTCGAAGGTGCCTGTACCACCGTAGAGTCACCCTCATCGGATGAGTCAAAGTCCGATTCTTCAGCTAACAAAATCGAAAATTGATTTTCATTTTGGACGGCTGATGCAGCCTTCACCATTTGTGCATATGACTGCTTGGAGCGTCCAGAGATTGCACGCTGCACTTTATCGGAGTATTGCTTGTACATCGGGCACTTCTGCAAGGGGTGAGGATTCTCGCCACAGTAAGCGCATTTTACTGATGCTTTGTGGCAAGAATCCTCTTTGTGGTTTTCACCACATTTGCCACAACGAGTTTTTGTGCCGCAATGGCTGACCAAGTGTCCCAGCCTTTTACTGTTGGTACAATTATAAACACTCTGTACAAACAACCGCACCGGAAAAAAGCACCATCAACTTTGACAAAGTTTAGGAGAACTGAACCAGCGAAAGTCACCCTAAACTAGGGTTACCATATGGTGTCCTAAAGGACGACATGTCCTCCTTTTTCAAAATTTTGTCTACATCCTTTTGCCCGAAAATGTCCTCCTTTTAGTCCTTGCATTTTAACATCCCAAGTAACATTGTAAGTTTTATCGAGGTTTTAAAGCATTCTACAAGTCTAAATTATGGTCTACAAAACCCTCATATGTATAATCAAAATTGTTACATGGAATATTATAAAAATTGTTTTCAATGAGCGTTGTAGGGCATGTTTGTTTAAATATGTCGCAACCTCGTCTTATCTAACAAATGCCATTCGATAGTGGGACCAGCAGTATACTACAGCTGTCACCAGCCCTACATTTAGGCTGTGGCATATTTGGTGGATTTTCACTTAAATTTGACAGATGGAGAATTTTCAAATATCAGTGAAGGATCACCAAAATGGAACGCAGTCTTATACCCCGTACATACTATGGCTTGTGTCATGTAATATAGGCTGTGACATTTTGAGAATATCTTATATTAATTGATTGGTCAATTTTCGAGAGGGTGTTTGTCCAAATCGATTACTTGTCTGTCGGAAATAAGTCTGGTGCAAGACCAGGGTTATTTGAAAGTTTTCTATCTTTAAAATGCAGATGAAAATTATCCAAATGGAACACAGCCTTAGATTGAATCCAGCATGTGTTCGATTTCGACATTCTGGTTCTATGGGATTTTGGGTTTTGGTTTAAAGTCCTGTGAATGTTAGAATTAATAAGTTGCTTAGAATTTCCTTTTTCATGTCGGTTTCAATCAGCAATGACGTGTATCCTGATTTCTGAACATGATAAAAGTTGGGATGGTTTTGAGGCTGTAAAGCTGTAGTTTACATGCAAAACAAATAAACTAGATCATTTCCAAGTATCAACAATGAATTATGAAGGCTAGTTTGATACATGTATCAAAAGTATAACGAGAAGATGAATTTGTATTGATGACGACTACTAGGGGAATTTACGTATTCTCGTCAATCTAAGCAGTGTCCATACTTCTATTAGCATTTTCTCAGCGTCACGCACATATATGACGTGTCTGTTGGTTTACATTCATCTGCTGCTTGCTTCTCTATCCATTTTAATCGACAGAATTCTTCAAAACTGTTTGAAAGCGTTTTTACAACGCTCCAAACTTCTCAGGTGAGTGTGACTATTGTCGGCAGCCTCGTTTTCTTCGGCAACCTTCCCATTAGAACTGCGTGTTAACCAGCTGTTCTATTATCGGCAACTTGAAATCAACCCCATTTTAGAGTACGTATGCTTCATTTGAATAAAAATCTGCCATAACAGGACTGCTCAGACGTACACATACAATCAGATTGAAGCTGAAAGACTAAAGAATCGTTTGGATGCATTCAGGGAAGTGTGTTGATGGGAAAACATAGTGAAATTAACGTTTAAATTTTGGTTGCCGAAAACAGTCAATGGGTGCCGAAGCCGACATTTACCCTACATATTAACAATCTCAACCTTTGAAAATCATGAGTTTTGTGATAGCGCACGCACATATTATTTACCCGTTTGATAAAAACTCATTGTCATCCTTTAATGTTGAGAGAAAAGGAAACATTGTCCTCCTTTATCTTTAAACCTCAAATGAAATGTCCTCCTTTTCATGTTTTTGATATGGTAACCCTACCCTAAACCAGTCTGAATGCTGATAAACTTTCTTGCCATCTTGTAAAGATACTGAATGCAGTTGCCTGATATCCTCTCCGATTTTCGAGTTTTTGAAGCAACCCGATGCTTGTTTTTAAGTTCTCGACACTCAGACTCGCGTCGGAGACCACGCCTTCTATCTCCACATCTCGAGAAGGGATGTAGATGTTATACTCAACACTAAACACCTCGTGTTCAGCAATTTTATTTGCCACATCATAAGTCGGTGCTTCTACACGCAGTTTGTTGAATCTTTCCTTGTGTACCAAGATTCCCGGATACTTCGAGAGTTTTCAAAGGTTTATTTTTGGGCCGAAAAAAGACAACCCATGCCACAGTGGTTGAAATCGTCGTTTTTGCGCGCTTAATTAATAACATCTTTATTTTGATATTTAGGGCTATGGTGTCTTCTGAGAAGTTTATCAATAAATGTATGCGCTTCTTTTGGGCTTTTCAGCACAAGGATTAATCCCCCTTAAAGTGAGATAGAAAATTTATTTTTTTCAATTTTACAATATACAGGGTTAGTGTCTTCACAAAAGTTCGAGAAATCATTCTTTTGAATAACTTTGTCCAAGACACCTAAACCGTAACTTGCTCACTTTTGGAGATATGTTACGTTATTTGT